GGCGCGGAGCCAGCCGGACCGCCCCTGTCGGCCGCCCCAGCCACTGGGGCGGCTGGGGAAGACGTCACTTCCTGCCCGGGGGAGCATCGAGACGTGGACGCCAGAGCGTCGCCTTGGGAGGGGACGGCGGCTCCCAGCAGCGGGGAGGACCCGGGAACCGGGACATATTGGGACATAACAGGGAGATTCCGGGAGACACCGGGACCTACCAGGGAAACAGGGATATTCCGGGATACCCTGGAACCTACAGGGACACCCTGGGATCTACCAGGGCAACAGGGACATTCCGGGATACCCTGGGACCTCCTGGGACACACTGGGACCTACCAGGGGAACAGGGAAATTCCAGGATACCCTGGGACACGCTGGGACTTACCAGGGGAACAGAGACATTCCAGGATACACTGGGACCTACTGGGACCTACCAGGGCAACAGGGACATTCCAGGATACCCTGGGACATGCTGGGATGTACCAGGGGAACAGAGACATTCCAGGATACACTGGGACCTATCAGGGGAACAGGGACATTCCGGGATACACTGGGACCTCCTAGGACACATTGGAACCTACCACGGGAACAGGGACATTCCGGGACACGCTGGAACTTCCTGGGACACAATGGGACCTACCAGGGCAACAGGGACATTCCAGGATATGCTGGAACCTACAGGGACATTCTGGGATCTACCAGGGCAACAGGGACATTCCGGGATACCCTGGGACCTACTGGGATATGTTGGGACCTACCAGGGAAACAGGGAAATTCCAGGATACACTGGGACCTCCTGGGACACACTGGGATCTACCAGGGAAACAGGGACATTCCAGGATACACTGGGACCTACTGGGATATGTTGGGACCTACCAGAGCAACAGGGACAGTCCGGGACCTGCCCGGGGGAGCATCGAGACGTGGACGCCAGAGCGTCGCCTTGGGAGGGGACGGCGGCTCCCAGCAGCGGGGAGGACCCGGGAACCGGGACATATTGGGACATAACAGGGAGATTCCGGGAGACACCGGGACCTACCAGGGAAACAGGGATATTCCGGGATACCCTGGAACCTACAGGGACACCCTGGGATCTACCAGGGCAACAGGGACATTCCGGGATACCCTGGGACCTCCTGGGACACGCTGGGACCTACCAGGGAACAGGGACATTCCGGGATACCCTGGGACCTATTGGGACACACCGGGACCTACCGGGGAATGGGGACATTCCAGGATACCCTGGGACATGCTGGGACTTACCAGGGGAACAAGGACATTCCGGGATACACTGGGACCTACTGGGACTCCCCAGGGGAACAGGGAAATTCCAGGATACCCTGGGAGCTACCAGGGGAACAGAGACATTCCAGGATACCCTGGGACCTCCTGGGACACATTGGAACCTACAACGGGAACAGGAAAATTCCAGGATACCCTGGGACCTCCTGGGACACGCTGGGACCTACCAGGGGAATAGGGACATTCTGGGACACACTGGGACCTATCAGAGGAACAGGGACATTCCGGGATACCCTGGGACCTATTGGGACACACCGGGACCTACCGGGGAATGGGGACATTCCAGGATACCCTGGGACATGCTGGGACTTACCAGGGGAACAAGGACATTCCGGGATACACTGGGACCTACTGGGACTCCCCAGGGGAACAGGGAAATTCCAGGATACCCTGGGAGCTACCAGGGGAACAGAGACATTCCAGGATATGCTGGAACCTACAGGGACACCCTGGGATCTACCAGGGCAACAGGGACATTCTGGGATACACTGGGACCTACCATGGGAACAGGGAAATTCCAGGATACACTGGGACCTATCAGAGGAACAGGGACATTCCGGGATACACTGGGACCTCCTAGGACACATTGGAACCTACCACGGGAACAGGGACATTCCGGGACACGCTGGAACTTCCTGGGACACAATGGGACCTACCAGGGCAACAGGGACATTCCAGGATATGCTGGAACCTACAGGGACATTCTGGGATCTACCAGGGCAACAGGGACATTCCGGGATACCCTGGGACCTACTGGGATATGTTGGGACCTACCAGGGAAACAGGGAAATTCCAGGATACACTGGGACCTCCTGGGACACACTGGGATCTACCAGGGAAACAGGGACATTCCAGGATACACTGGGACCTACTGGGATATGTTGGGACCTACCAGGGAAACAGGGAAATTCCAGGATACACTGGGACCTCCTGGGACACACTGGGATCTACCAGGGAAACAGGGACATTCCAGGATACACTGGGACCTACTGGGATATGTTGGGACCTACCAGGGAAACAGGGAAATTCCAGGATACACTGGGACCTCCTGGGACACACTGGGATCTACCAGGGAAACAGGGACATTCCAGGATACACTGGGACCTACTGGGATATGTTGGGACCTACCAGAGCAACAGGGACAGTCCGGGATACACCGGGACCTACTGGGACACATTGGAACCTACCAGGGAAACAGGGACATTCCAGGATACCCTGGGACATGCTGGGACTTACCAGGGGAACAAGGACATTCCGGGATACACTGGGACCTACTGGGACTCCCCAGGAGAACAGGGACATTCCAGGATACACCGGGACCTCCTGGGACACACTGGGACCTATCAGAGGAACAGGGACATTCCGGGATACACTGGGACCTCCTGGGACACGCTGGGACCTACCAGGGAACAGGGACATTCCGGGATACCCTGGGACCTATTGGGACACACCGGGACCTACCGGGGAATGGGGACATTCCAGGATACCCTGGGACATGCTGGGACTTACCAGGGGAACAAGGACATTCCGGGATACACTGGGACCTACTGGGACTCCCCAGGGGAACAGGGAAATTCCAGGATACCCTGGGAGCTACCAGGGGAACAGAGACATTCCAGGATATGCTGGAACCTACAGGGACACCCTGGGATCTACCAGGGCAACAGGGACATTCCGGGATACCCTGGGACCTCCTG